TCTCTCCCTCTCTTCCTCCTCCATCCCTCTCCCTCCCTCTCTCTCTGCGCTCTCTCCCTCCCTCTCTCTCCCTCCCTCTCTCCCTCTCTCCCTCTCTCTCTCTCTCTCTCTCTGTCTCCCTCCCTCCCCAGCGGCGTTGCCTTTGCAGCGGCCTTGCGTTGCCTTGCGTGCCCTTGCAGCTGTCCTTGCCCTTGCAGCTGTCCTTGCCCTTGCAGCTGTCCTTGCCCTTGCCATTGTCCAACGGTGGTGTTCGCACCCATGATACTCCCCAGACAACAACTCGCAAGCTGTCCGTCAGATAATAATAACAAGAATGAGAAAGAATCTTTAGGTTATAATCCTTACCACAGTATGCCTAGAATTTCTGTTCTTAATTACAGAATATCTAGAAATCCATCTCGGACTTTTCAAATAAGAGGTTAATTTTCCTTCAAATATATCCTTCGACTGTTTACTTACCCCTTGCAACCCTACCAGGTAGTCTTAAAGCTAAGCGGACCATAGTTTGCGAATTTGTTTTATCTGTTTTATTCCGTTTTGACTTATTTTAATAGTGAACAGATTTGCCCAACTACCACTATTGTTAAATGGTCTCGCAGCTCTCGCAAGAATACTTTCTGTTTATTTGCCCAGTTTGAAATAGTATGACTTGCATGACAGTATTGATAGCTCCCGAGATGTCTGCGTGATACAAAAAACAAGAAAGATAATTTTAACTTGATGAAGAAAATAACATAAAGGATATCCGTTTGTGCTGCTGAGGAAAACTTATACGCTTGACTGAGGAGACATCATTCTGTATTGAACGAGAACCAGGATCATCCTAGATATTAAGATAAGAATAAATTTCGTAGCTAAGCATATCCCTATCACCAATCCCAATCATGAACTTTTATTGACAGAATTCATCTGAACTACAAAGTGAAAAAAATGGCTCTCGACATATACAAAATTTGACTCCCTTGTGTTAATTTACTAGCAAATATGAAATATGTAGCCCAAATAGACATACGAGCAAAGTAATAACTTATGGATCGACTACACGGCATTTCTTGCTTTCCTGAAAAAAGTACGAATGAGTCTCTTTTTCGATACTATAATTTCAAAATATTTCGTTCTTTTTTCAGAAATGTATGTCAGAGAAAGCGGAAGTTTGAGTTAAGGTACACCTTCACTAAGATACACACACCTACACGTCTTGAAATCCTAAAGTCCAGATCGCTGGTGACCCTGATATCTAGAATGATCCTAATGTCTATAATGATCTTGGATCTCTTTCAATTCAGAACGACGTCTCCTCAGTGAAGACTACGTTTTCTCGTGCAGCACAAACGGATACCATGTATGGTGTTTTCTTAATCAAGTTCAAATTAGCTTTCTTGTATCGCGCAGACATATCCGGAGATAGCAATGCTGTCATGAAAAACATATTATTTTAAACTGTGCAAATAAACAGCAATTATTAATATTATTATTATTATTATTATTATGGTTAATTATTATTGTGGGATTCGAAGAAATCAAGACCATTTAACAATAGTTCACAGTCCCTTTTAAACAGACTGCGAGATTGAACGACAGGACGCTTGGTCGCTGCTTGCCGCAACGGCGCGGCAGGTGTTGGCAGGCCTGGCACGTGACGAATGCTCTCACGGGGTAAGCGAGAGGCACGGCTCGGCATCGCCTGCGAATGCTCCTTCCGCCAATATTTGCTTTGACGGAGGGCGCGGGTGAAACCGTGAAAGCTACAAGCCGTCGAGGACCCACCATGCACAAAAAACAACGACGCTACCGAAACATCCGCCGATACGTTGCTCAATTTTTTCACTGCAGGGGGGGGGGATCGTGTCTGCATAGGTCGGTACGATCTCTGGTGAAGAGTTGTAACGACCCGCGAGATTCGCGGTAACACTCACGTTGATAGCTTCAAGGTGGAGGCAAGGCGTTGCTAAGCTCCGGGTTGGTAGGCACTGCCAGGTAACCCACCAGTTGGATCCCTGGCCTGTAACTCTTTGGGCAGGGTTGGGTGAATGATGTTCTTTGGAATGCACTATATCCAACATATAGAAGTCCGACAGGGTCCAGATACCTTGTTGTCAGGTTGTCTAGGTTCTGGCGGTACTCACGTCAATAGTCTCACGGTGGAGGCAGTGAGGAGACAGGAAGGGAGGGAGTGGTCGAGTCGCCCCGACCTCAGTTCGGGTGGCCCCCTGATAGGCTCTTGGCTTCGTCGTGGAAGTGGCCCTATACTCTGCAGGGGAGGGGCTTGTTACCGGCGCACATTGCTAGGAATCTGGTAGTAGCCTGGATAGCTACTAGCTCTGAGCTGGCAGGGCGCCCCAAACCAGACATTGAATGGGGAGGTAGCCGTGAAGACAAATTACGTTCCCGCGGGATCTGGACACCAGCCCAAGGGCGTACTTGTACCCCTGCGGGGCAACGGATAGACGCCATAACCTTGATGTCCTCTCAGGGGTGCATTCTCCCTGGTAAAGTACAAGTGCATGGTAGGCGCACTGTAGTTCATACTACTACTGCTCAATTTTATACCACTGAAAACGTCCGTATGTCATCGACTGCTGCCTCTCCAGATAATTGTACTTTGATGTGTAAGAAACAATTTTCCTCCGGCTTAGTCGTGACTAAGGCAAATTCAGAAATAGCATAATAATATTTATCTTCCTCAACACATTGGTCATAGGTCTAAAACTTGTGTGATCACTTAATATGGTGTCTCTTCGCACGTGTACTGGAAGTTGTTTAAAGCAAATACCAAATGTTGTTGGTCACTTATACTTTGGAATAAGATTTTTTACTTCAAATTGTCTATGATCTCATTTTAAACTTTGACTTTTAGAAAACCTAATACGATGTCATAATCTTCGACGTGATTTCAAATAATTTCCTGTCCAGTAAAATGTCCTTACTAATATGTTGCCTAATTTTGTTCTCTGGTATAGTTAAAGTATTCTTAAACACTGTACATGATACTTGTTTCATAAACAAATTAGAAATGTATCTGTTTTATTTCTAAAAATGAATAATGAATAGTGTAGTGTAGTGAAGTGTTATGTAAACTAGAAGTGAATTTAGAGTTAGCTAGAAATAAATTGGAACTATTATATCGACCCCTAATTCTAATAGTAAACCCAATTGTAAATGTTGATAATGTTTACTAATTCTAATTCTAATTGTTATCATGTTTGCCACCGAGCATTAGCTCAAAGCGAACTTTAATAAATCTATCTCTCTAACCAATTTCCCCAAAAGTACAAAGTGTTGCAATTACGATGTCCTTCATCACGACTATAACTTAAATTATAAGGATCTACATTAAGTTAACAATGTTCATTGTGAATTCATATTCAATGAGTTGGCCGAGTCTTCCTCCATCGGGGCCCGAACCCAAGGACCTCCAGGTCAGATTAAGTGATCGGAGAAAATGAATCAATATTCAACTTAATCACTTTTTTTCCGTTAGCATTGCTTAGAGTAAACAATGGATGTGCCTTCTGTTGCAGTGCATCGTGGAGAGGCTGCTGCGCTCTTGCCCTGAGGTCGGGACCATCCACTTGCTGCTGCGCCCCAAGAAAGGCCAGGATGTCTCCCGCCGTCTGGAGGAGTACCTCAACCTGGAGGTGAGAGCAGGGGGCCATCCCAAATCGCCTGACGAGTTACGTATTACTCGCGCAAGTTTCCTTGATACACAAGCTCCCTAATCCTCAACCAGCTCTAAAATGACTATTTTTCAATTATTGTTTTTTTTGCGATTTTTAGAATTTATTTTTAAAAATTGTTTTTATTTATTTATTTATTTAATTTATTTTATTTATTTATTTATTTATTTATTTATTTATTTATTTATTTATTTATTTATTTATTTATGTTAAATGTTTACTCATCTTTCACCTATTTGTAGTTAAAAAGACGGGGTGGGATTCTGGAACTCAAGAAAACGTGCGCAGATAATCTCCCCCCCTACGTCAGTTTTTATGTTGTTGGTTTTTTTCTTTTTTTGACTGAATAAATTTAAATCAAAATAGCACGGCACGTTGAGATACTTAGGTTGACTCGCAACGGCAATTACCAATTTACAATGCTGCCAACAACCACATCGTACCTTCAAAACAATCGTAGCATTTCTCGTGGCACACTTTGGGGCGTTAAGTTCATGCCCACAGTTGATAAGCCCTTTCAAGCCGTGACGTAAACTGAGCCCTGATGTCCCTGCACCCCCCGCGGCCGGAGTCAGTATTTACTTGGCTGTCCGGGTGACGCTGCGTCCATGGCGACGGTGCCGACCTTTCGGTCTTTACGCCCTGAGGAAGGTCGCAGAATGGCGACCGAAACGTCGGCACCTTCACCATGGACGCGGCGTCACCCGGACAGCCAAGTAAATACAAACCTGCGCGTGTAGTAAAGAACCAACGACAGTCTGGTAGCTACCTGAGAGCAAACGCTCTATTACACACCGCTACTACGTGTAAGGAGTATCCTTGCTCAACTAACAAACTCTTGGATGCTGTACTGTAGTGAGGTACATGGAATTATATCTGTTGTAAAATACACGTTGACATTATTAAATGAGTCATGAGAAAGTCTACAAGCAGGTAGCTTTTGTTTAGTTTTTGTTTGGACTGTGTAGATTTTGATTTCTCAAATACGGAACAACTACTCAAATACGGAAACTTATACTGATTTCAGTTTATCTGAATCACAACTTTAGTTCTAAATTATAAAAATGTTAGTTTCTCTCCAAGTACCGTTCCTGAGCGATATAGTATTAATAGAGCAAGAATATCACATTTTTTGTAGCCATTCAGTAACTCAGTGGTTTCGCGAATATTTTTGAAACAGAATGACTTTGAAACAAATTTTGTCACTAACCTAAATAAAGAATGGAATAAAATGTTTGTATTGAGTAACATAACGATGTATGTAGACTCGATATTCAAAAGCAGAATGTAAAAGAAAGTGTCTTAATGTTTTAATTACCCTTTATTGATTCGGGGATCCAAATATTGCTGAAAACTGAATCAAAATCAATATCTTGACGTAGGTTTATTTTTATTTATTAACGTCAAAATTTAACAATTAAAAACTGTGTGTGACGTTCTATGGGGCAGTGTGTCTTGTGCACGTTATCGTAAACTCTGGGGTCCCTACCCTAACCCATATATAAGTTGAATTATGAAAGCGGGTAAAACGGCTGTGTTGTGATAAGAATTGAGAAGAAAACATTCGTTCTCGTGCAATAAAATATATTTGTGAAGACAAATTGCCAATAGATTTGAGCTAATATCGTGTCCGTTGTGGAGGAATCGAGTTTCTACCGTGAGAACATGGAGAACGATCATTTGAATAACACTGTTTCTGAACTCTATAAAACGTGCTCAAAGTGAAATTACATGTATATGTTCCAAATCTTATGAATACAAAATTACATTACAATATTTTATCCGAAATAATTCTGTGAAGTAAAATGGCTAAAAACTAAAAAACGTAAAGATTAATATGGGGTTTATAATTTATTATTAACGCAACAAAGAATTTCCAATAATATATGACGCTAAATACGTACTTCAATTATGATTTCTTTCTCATCCTTTCATGCAGCGTCTAATTCACCTTAGCGTAAGTCTCATGTCCGAAAACGGCACGTGCAACAAGCAATAAAATTGAACCCTTCTTAAAGCGTCGTTAAGGTGTCCGTTATAGCGTTTATTAAGGTAAATTAATCGTTTAATTGTCATGCTCTAAACAACAAAACAAATGAACAATGAAATAAATCTTAAATCCCAATCAGAGAACATGCGAATGTCATCATTTACGCAACAAAGTAACCAGACGGGAAGTAGAAGAGGACGCAAAGACTTCCGGGCTTTCCTAAGCGAGCCTCGTTTGACCTTACACCGCTTGTAATTATGAGATCAGTTGTAAACGTCGACCTAGACGCAGTAACGAGGGGCAGCGAAAGGGAGGTGACGAACCTCTAGAAAGTGGTTTCTAGGCGCCAGCGAAGACAAATGGTCACCGGGAAACGAACCGGGGCCTCTTCGCGGAGTCAACCAACCTTTGTGAGAACGATGATGAGGTATTGTTGTCGTAATTAAATGGTGTTTTTTTTTATTTACTTCTGCTTGGCCCGAAGGCCCTCAGCAGCCCAGTACAACACTTCAGGGTACAATGAATTATATAAGCCGTGTTTAAGGAACGTTATTTACAGATGAATACATGGAGTACATGTGGATTGAATATGAGAAGCCACATCGGGTACATGATGATCAGACGGTAGTTTCCGCTTTAGTCTGTTGTGGTAAGGATTTTGTTTTCCGATTTTCAAATGTACGACTGAGGGAATCTGGGTAATTTTAAGATAGAAGCGAGTGGATCGGAGAGAGAAATGAACGGAGATCGGAGTAATGCTGAGTTTCTAATGTAACTGGGTGTTAGGTACAACCAGGGAGCTATTGTAATGCTTCGGAGGAATTTATTTTAGAAAATCTACATTTTTTGGATATATTATTTGCTGGCTAATTAATTAATTAATTAATTAAATGGTGAAAACTGAAGTAACAAGTTATTAAATAATAAGTTGACGAAGTAAAATTTAATTATTTCACCAAACTAACCGTTGATAAATCAGAATAATCAGTAATCATGGAGTTTATCTATTGTAGAGAAATCCACATAGTTAATAAACAATAGTACATAATTTAACTAGTATATGGGGTAGGGTAGTGATCCAGAATTAAAGATAACATGCACAGAACCCTAAGTACGTTACACACAGCTTTTAACTGATTTTTGACATTAATAAATGATAGAAAGATAATTTATATTTAATATAATTTCACAATTTAAAATATTCACTTATAAAGTCAACAACTCACTGGCTCCACGTATTATCCAACCACGTATTTTTTCTTTCCGTTTTCATATCAAATATTATCTAAATCCGCGCATTTTAACGCATTTTAGACGAAATATTGGAATTCAAAATATTCCTCATACTAGCCTTAAATTTTTCTGATTTTTCCATATCCAAAATAGGGTATAAGAGTGACGTCCCCACGTTTGACCCAGAAATGACAATAGCGTAAATGTCAAACAAGCCGGTCTACTTCTGTTTGGAAATTTAAAAAATCTACCTTATTCCAATTATAATATTTGTACTGTTATTTTCCTAAATACAAATTACTCTACGTGACGAGAAATGTGCAGTGTTGTTTTGAATAAAAATGTGTAAAGGTTCACAAGGTTCAAGGGGTAATTAATTGAAAAATCAATGAAATCTAGAATATAAGTATATCGGGTAAAGAGGAGTGCAATATTGTTATAAACATTATTGCCCTGAGGAAGACTGCGACACGACAGGCCAAACGTCGGCCCCTCAGCCAGCGACGCGACGTCAGACGGACATTCAAGAAGTCATGAACTCGAGTCGCAGTAGCTTACGTGTACATTTGTTATAAACATTTCCATTTATTGGTCATTACTAGTCATTACTTCAAGCTTACAGAGGTCGTTCACTTTTTTTAAATTTTTACTGTATCTTCTGATACCAGCTATTGAATGAAACTATAATGGGAGGGGGCTTCTTTTGTGAACCTTTTAAATGAACTATTTTTCGAGAACAGAAATATCATGAAAATGTTTTAGCTTGTTTCCAGTAAATCAATTTCAACTCCCTTTATGAATTCAATAAATGAGGTGCCATTAAGAAAAACTAACGTAGCATTGTGAGAGAACGCCAACACTAGAATGATTAAAAATTACATGTTTACGCCTTCTTTAAACAACGTAGATTAATTTCTCAAATTAAAAAACGTAGATTGATGCATTTAACAAATCGATATCAAAAATGGAAAGGTACTAATGTAAATATAAAAGAAAAATAATAAAATTGCACTTTTTTCACGGCGAATATTGTGCTGTCAGTTGTCATATTGCGTTATCGTCACGCGTTTCTGTAAGACATGCGTTTATGTATGACATTTTCAGATTCCATTTTCGCGGTCGTCATAGTAACTGTTTTAGTGAGTCCTCACATATTTCTATTTTAACAAGTAGATTTTTTAAATACTCTAAAAGACACTCTTGAGAATGATGATACTTTTAACTTCGTTTTTGTATTCTGCCACCGGGTAACATCAGCCCAATTGTAGAACAAACTTTCTACCTATCTAATAAAATGCATATGTTACATCAGTGGCTGAGTTTCCTTGGCAAAAGAGCACAGCGCGTTTTCTCTCGCAGCCACGATTGCCACCGCACGCGACCCGCGCAAATGGATTTTCTGACACGACTTTACGATCAGCACACGCCATCATAGAAGATGGCAGTCTAGAGAAAGTTGAGCAAAATGTCTAGGAAAGGAAGCGCAATATTCAAAATAATTCATACACGTATATAAAACACACAGCACAGAGTGAATGAATTGAAAATAGGTGGAGGTTTACGAAAGGAATTCTTAAAAATACCGGTCTTGTCTGTTTGTTTATCTCAAAATAACTTCATGCATTTCTCTTTACTCCACCATTTTATTTCATTTTTAAATATACTTCTTAAAAGTAAATTAGTCTCGTACGTAGTAGAACTATTAGTCCTCAGGATGAATTTAAAAATTCAACGAAGTACATTGCAATTGGAAAGTAAGTTCCGTTTCACAATCATCCGCACGGAAAAATGTATTTCCATCTCCAAGATTTGGCACTTAAAATCCTTGTTCATTTTATTGACAGTGCTTCCTAATTCGTGTCATCCGGAAATGATGTACAAAGTAAGAGATATTAGTGTTGTGTGTTCTACCAGTCATTTCCCGACGAATATACCTGGAGAGATGGCTTAGGGCATCAACTGATGTCACTGCAGTCCCTCTGACCTGGCGGTCCAAGGTTCGAGATCCAATGGTGGCAGGATTTTCGATACTAGCTTGTCAGCTAGGTCGAATTCAGTCGCTGTCTGGAGAAGAATTCTGTTTGTCGGTTCGTGGTTTTTCCGCTCAACATCAGGCGAATGCTGGAGCGGTACCTTAACAAACGGTCCACGGACTGCGCGCCATCTTTCCTATCTCTTTTTGTCCTATACTCACCCTTTACCCCCCCCCCACACACACACACACACTCATAAGCACAACACTACCACACATGCCGCGAGATCGGTCGGGAGCATATAGCTCTTCGCGGCAGGGCGGTGCAGCGCTTGTGAGATATACGAGTACCTTACCTGATGAGAAAAAACCTCGCTACCCGACGGTTGGTCGGTGCCGGATCTCGCCCTACAGCAGGGGAAAACTACCGCCACCTCCCGAACAAAAACATGCACTACACAGGAATAATGACCATAGTAGTTGACGCACCCGGAATCACTATCAATCAATCAATCAACCACCGAATATCGGAAGAGCGTGATTGATTGCGATCCACGCGCCGTGTGTCAAAACGCGTGCAACAGCGCACTTAGCATGTGCGTTTTGAGCAGGCGTCCTTTCTTAGAGAGGAAAGACTCGTGCATTAGCGAAAGACTTCCTAGAGAAGACGTGAATCTCTATATCTGTGTATTTGCCGACGACTTGGAATAAAGCTATACAAACATCAATGTTGTAATGTTTAATATTTCATCTCGTTGATCTTGACGTTTTTTTTCTGAAGATATAATAGTATTCATCTTTCAAAGTAAATAAGAAACATTTACCTATTTTAACGTTATTAAAGTTGTACTTGTATTTGGTGCCGGACCTATGTTGGAATATACAGTTTTCCATTTTTGTTCTTCCTTCAGATTGTAAGTACATGAAATGCAAATCACATGCATGCCGTCAGATCCAGTAAAGACAAAGAAACACAAATAGCGCACATCTTACGCGCAAAGAATCATTTCCTTGCGCGTAAAGTCGCAAGTAAAGTTGCATGCGATATTAACTTTCATAACATTCATTCTGGGTTATTTCCTACGTACGTGTTCACGTTTACGTTTACCATTCTTCTTCCCATACTATCGAATAAAGTGGTACCAAGCTTTGTGCTTACGTTAAGTTTACTCTCGTATTTGTCATTCTTTAGTAGGGGGCGGATTTTAATGAAATGTCATTTTTTTCTTTTCACTTTATATCAATGCCGTTTAGTACATAAATTCGTTTTATGTTGTGACAAAAAGGAAATTAACCATTTTTATACCTCTTTTTTTACATTTTTAATGCGTTTTAATGCATTTTTCGCTGATTTCATCGATTTTAACATAATTTTAATGGTACTTGCTTCAAACAGAATTAACGAGGTGCAGAGTTCACCATAGAATTCCTAAGTAGCGTATTCGATTTTTTCGTTCCTATATTATAATGTCATCGATTGTGAGTACTATGTAATCTAAGGTTCCTTTGACACCTATAGGCGCCATTGTCAGTTCGCAATAAATAAAGGCAGAGATTTTCTTGTAAAGAACAGTCCAAAACAAAAGTTTGCGAGCTGAGTTCACTTGAACAAAAGGAAGAAGCCTCGATTACATCAGTAACATATCCAACAGCTTAAGTTGTTCGTATGAAGTGTTTTTGATCAATGTTTTGCGTCATTTTTCTTTGATTTTAGGGCATTTTTAAAGCATTTTAGAGCAATTTATTGATCATGGATTGGGTCATGTTTTAGATCATCAAAACTTCGTTACGCACCTGGAACACGCGCTTAACTCCCTTCAAATAATTACGTAACGCTTGCAACTTCAACGTGTTCTGTTACAATAACTTAAAATAAAATATATAACAGTAAACGCCATTTTTATTATTTCTTTTTGTGCTCTATATTAAGATTGATGATAACTAGTCAGAATTAAGTGGCGTTGCTGATTGAATCGCCTAGCAATAAGATTGGAGACAATTTTTTTGTGTACTCGAGTCTGAAGATGGAAACAATTATTTCCGAAACGCTGCTATTTATGTATTACACATTTTAGAGTATTACATATTTTATTATTTTCATGTGAATCTGTTATCCAATGTACTGAATTTTCTATCTATAAAATAAAGACTAAATACAGTCTGACAAAGTTTGACATTCTGACAGCTGACATATCTACAAACAGAAAGTAAAATAATAATTTAAAATCAATTCCATTTATTGTAACAATATAATAATTAATGTATACATTAGAGTAACCGTGCGAGAACTCTCGTAATTCTGAGCCAAAAAACTATATAACTAATATATTCACCTGTGAGTATTAAATACTATTTGTTACAATATTTTTTTAATCGTGTAATTTCATTTTCACTTCATGTTTTTTTCATTTTTTTTCTTCAAAAATTGAATTTGTCAATACTATAATTGAATTTTTTATTTCAGAAATCCGTCAAACGCCAAAATCTAAAAAACACGTTAGCGGCGGAATATTGTACCATGAGGATAGCCACATGGTTAACTGCACATTTACATGGAAAATATTCATTTATCAACTGCTTTAATATTAAAAAATATTTTGAAATCAGAAAATATGGGGCATTTTTTCTCAGTTTTCTCGAAATGGGAAATTTGGCGTTTGATGCATTTCTGAAATGAACGGTTAAATTGTCAAGTAGGCGGTGTGGTGTTGCAGCTGTTCAAAATATTTTGAAACCACAAGCCCTGGGACACTTTTTCTCGTAATGAGACATTTGGCGTTTTCTGGCGCGGTGTGGTGTTGCGTTCAAAATATTTTGAAATCAGAAAAACTGAGACACTTTTCTCAGCTTTCAGTAGTGAGAAATTTGTCGTTTGACAGACGTCTGAAGTGAACGGTTGAGTCGTGACGTGCGCGTTGTGTTGTTGCAGCTGTTCGACGGCGTGCGCGCGGCGGCGGGCGGCGCGGAGGCGCTGGCGCGGCGCGTGGTGGCGGTGCGCGGCGACGTGACCATGCACGAGCTGGGGCTGTCGGCGGGCGAGCGCCAGCGCCTGGGCGAGGGCGTGCGCGTGCTGCTGCACTGCGCCGCCAACGTGCGCTTCGACATGCCGCTGCGCACCGCGCTCTCCTGCAACCTGCAGGGCACGCAGCGCGTGCTGCGCCTCGCCGAGCAGCTGCCGCACCTGCAGGTGAGCATTGCTACTGACCCCTCCCCCTCCCCCTTCCTCCTCCACTCTCCACCCTCCACCCCTCCCATCTCTCCCGTCCCTCTCCCCATCTCTCCCCTCTCCTCCCACTCCCTCTCACTCCCATCCTTCCACTCTCACTCCCCTTTCTCCTTCCCTCTTTCGTCCCTTCCTCTTCCCCTCCCACTACCTCTCCCTCTCCCCCTCCCTTCTTGCCTTTATAGGGCTTTGGCGACATGCAGGCAGGGGCGGATTCACCTAATACATGTAAAGTAAAGGGCTTTTTAGGCCCCCAACCATAGGTAAAGGAGTTTTCGCTCCTGAAAAACATCATAAAAAATTCGGAAAAATATCATAAAATATGTTTATTTCTGTAAAATAATCGTTAATGAAATATACTAGTTATCCGATCCGGATGGCCGAGATCGCAAAGGCAGTAGTGCCGTCAGAGTTACCATACCGTTACAAGCAATAGTGGGCGCTAATGACCTACAAGTAGATGCGACCTTAAGTAGTAGTAATAATAATAATAATAATAATAATAATAATAATAATAATAATAATAATAATAATAATAAGTCTAGTTCTAAAAAAGTTTGTATTTAAAAAATGAAAATCATTCTTTTAACTTTTTCGTATTTATATTAACCATTATATGTCCCGTAAAGAGTAATTGGTTCCGGCACCGTTATATCCCAGGGTTCGTAGTTGGTTACCCAACCAGGAACCCACAATGTCTCATATTCGCTTAACCTTCGTGACTTCACGTAATTAACGAATTCGGCTAGCGCCGCTGTTTTGGCGGACGTAGTGTTTTAGTTGAACCATCCCAGCATTCGCCCGTATGACAAAAGAAATCACGAAAACACCGGGCAGGATGGCCGGCATGGGTATTGAACCCGTGACCTCCCGCATGCGAAATCAGTTCGCTACGCCCTGAGCAATTTTGCTAGATTTGTTTAAACTACTATTTCATGAATAATATGCTGCTGATATAATATTCGATATTTAGTGCTATTATTAAATATGGGGGATTGTAGCGACCCACCGAGAGCAATCTCAACCAATTCCTTGCATTTCAGCAGCCCTTGTCCTTGTGTCATAAACCTAAAAAATAATAAATTGTTAGTTAAATATGCTTTAAAACTACAATCTGATTGTATCATTGTCTTGAAAAACATTCTGTCATTATGTTTTAAGAATTTAAAAAATATCCTCTACCTCACTGCTTTTCAAATGAGTTTACTGGGTTAAAATACATTACATTAATTGATTTAAACAAGTAGCATTATCACTCCTTCATATATTTCGAGAATCTGTACTTTTCTCGTTCCTTCCTTGTTTTGTTTCCAACATTTGTTTCCGACAGCTACAGTTTGTTTCCTCTTCTCTCCACAATGATCTCTGGCCAATGAGACTTGTGATGAAAATGGTAGAGGAAGTGCTTTTCTATCGTTCGTGCTTAACAACCTCACTGGTATTAACAAAATCAAATACAATTTGAATTGAAAATGTTTGACAAAATCTCCTACGTCATTCCAAGAAATTATCAAAATTGTCTAGCACAAAAAATGTGCAATTTGAATTGTTTCCCCTTTTAATTTATCAGTATGTTCGCTCTACAATTTTATTGCATAATTTCACATTAACCAGTGGAACCTATTTTAATATAAGTAATCTATTATTTATTAATTTTATTAAAAGAATAAAAATCTCATGATATTGTAACACTTTAATATATAATTACGTTCGCACAGAGGCCTATGCAAATGGTGCTTGTATTATTATAAAATTATTACCTGAAAAACTGAATTAGAAATATTGTATATAATGAATGATCGCAATTTATTTTACTTTTATTTTATGCCTTAATGCTGTGTTTGAATTATATACTTTTCTCTTATTTGCACGTCATTTTTGTTTCGTATTCTAGGCTTTCGTTCATGTCTCCACTGCCTATTGCCACTGCGACAGACCTGAAGTGCTGGAAAAGTTGTATCCTCCCCGAGCTGATCCAGAGAAAACACTGAGACTTCTGGACTGGATGAGTGATGACATGCTTGAAGCACTTGCTCCTAAGTAAGAATTTATACCACTTCTTTCTTTCGATATTCACGTTCCGTGAAAGGTCACAAAACGTTGAACTATGTACGTATATACGTCGGCAAAACTACGTTACACGTTGTATCTTCCGGACAGTCCATACTATGAGTTAGGTATCCAGAAAATTCTTTCACATATTTTGGAGTGTTAAAACAAATTAGTTAAAAAATAGTCTCTTTAAAACATTTTAAATTGGTTATATATTTGCATTTAGCTCTTCTGACAAGTGAGGTGGGTTTGAACCCATAATTTAGAGGTATTAGGTTAAGGCAATGATTCTTTATGTTTGGGATGCACCAAGAGTGAATCATTCTCAGAGAATACCTATCCTAATAGTAAAAAAATAGTTGTTTAACTTATGATCAAAATAATAATAAATACTGTTGCTGTAAAATCTTTCCCTGGCCATTCGTCGGTCCTTGGCTTTCACTGGTTCAAAAACTGTTCGTAGGGTTATCTCCAAAGATATTTCCTTATCGACTTGGCTGCACTCAAGGCCAGAGAATTTGAAATAGGTCTACTTTTTGGAATTCTTTACACAAGACTCCTTGTATTACAATCGACATCAGGGAATTTTATTCGATTAATAAAATTGTTAATTGTTTGACTAGAAGGAATAACAGAAAGAATAAAAGGACTAGAACAGTGGTGAGAGCGTAGGCTTCCGCGGCCGGATTCAGTGTTTACTAGTCTGTCCGGGTGACGCCGCGTCCATGGCGAAGGTGCCGACGTTTCGGTCGCCATTCTGCGACCTTCCTCAGGGCGTGAAATTACGCCCTGAGGAAGGTTGCAGAATGGCGACCGAAACGTTGGCACCTTCTCCATAGACGCAGAGTCACCTGGACCGCCAAGTAAATACTAGAACAGTGGTGGCTAGCCTAACTTACACTTACATGCACTACACTACCACACATGCCCGAGGACCAGCCGGGAGCTCAGAGCGGTGGGAGATACCTTGTGAAGGAAAATCCCGTAATCCGGCGAGTAAGTTGGCGCAGGATCTCACCATCCAGCGTGGAAAGATCGTCGAGATCACAAGGGGGAAACATGCACTATACTTATGGACTAATGTCCTTAGCCGTTAATGCGCTCGGAATCACAATCAAAAAAATCGCCTGGTGAATAATGTGATGTGCGAATTCACATGTCTTTTAACATTCTTTACATTCCATTATCTTTTTATGGAATTTATTTTAAAGAAATTCTCAAAATTTTCCCCAAAAAGAGACCATTTTTTAATTGTTGGCTTGAATGTACAAAAGTACGCTTACAAAACTTATGCAAGTGTGATTTCCATGAAAACGTCTGAAATTTCGAAAATTCCAAAATGTAAAACGCCTCGTACAACTACTTTTATTAATTGGATTTTTCCCTAGTGAAACCTTACCTTTAAAATTAGACCTTTAAATAATGTTAAATAAATTTTTTGAAAATATGAGTAGTTTTTATCTAATTTTGTGTGAAATATTGGCAATTTAAAAAACAAATAAACAAGATTTTCTCATAAATGGCCTGAATTTTTAACAAAAATTTAATTTTTTTAAGTCTTATACCCTTTTAATATTTAAGCTATAGTTTTCTTTGTTAATGTAATTTTAATTGTGGGTCTGTAATTGTTGTGCAAATGTAATTGTATGTCTCAATAGTAGTTCTTCAAATAATTTTATTCACACTTTTTGAAAATATTAGTAGTTTTTGTTCAATTTCGAGTTGAAATGTGTTCAGAAAAATATTACTGTACATTACCGTACACTAGAAGTTTTTAAAGGGTAAATAGAATTCGAAGCATTTGTATAATTTATATTATATTAATTAATTTATTATTTTTCTAAGCTTATTATTTTAGTATTTGATGTGAATCTAATAAAACAGAAAAATTGTATTCGTAACACTTTTTGCATTCTAGGACATAATTTATAATTGCTAGTTTCCATTTCTCTGGATGGCAACAATATGTACTATTTATAGAGAATTAATCTCTCTACTCATATTTGCAATGAAGCAGTGGTACTAACACAAACATTTCTTTTAGATTTCTTGGAGACTTACCCAACACTTACGCCCTTTCCAAAAATCTGACTGAAGGCCTGATTGCTAAGTATGCTGGAAAGTTCCCCATAGGCATTGCTCGGCCCTCCATTGGTAAGTCTTGGATTTTAACGGGAAAAACAAATTAAGTTCTGATGACTTCTTTTAACTTTTAGTAAGCTACATCTTAATTTTTTGTTTTTCTCAAAATGAAAATTTAGATCACTATATTTACCCAACTATATGGACATTACTCTCAAAGGAAAAATTTCTAAAATATTAAGATATTTTCATACATTTAAAAGTGTGTTTTATATCCTTTTACAGTAACCTCAGTATGGAAAGAACCACTTCCAGGTTGGGTGGATAATATCAATGGCCCTACAGGATTGTTAATGGGTGCTGGAAAAGGAGTCATACGCTCAATGTTATGCAAAGGCAATTATCATGCTGATGTAGTTCCTGTTGACATGGCTGCCAATGCAGTTCTAATGTTGGCATGGAGACTTGGAAAAGAAAGGTACGCGTCTACTATCCACTCAAAATTTTTTTATACATTCTCCTCTTCACGGGGTAAATTGCTCTACGGACAATTGACATTATAAAAGTTTCTTAAACCAGTCGGGCAAAACGGTTTTCACCTTACTCGTTTGAAAAAAATATGCAGACGTAATATTTAGTAACACAGAAATCAAGTTTCATTACTTAATTCCACCACGGATTACGAGTAATACTCAAAGGCAGCAAACGGTCAGCTAGTGACCAATAAACACGAAAACAACAGTTATGAGTAGTGACCGGATTTTTATGTAATTACATATTTCTTGTCATTCTACTTGCCGTTCTGAAAACTATCTTGGCGGAGTCCAAACATAGTATCCAATATTTTTGTTATATATTTTTACATATTTAGTACTAAATTACATATTTTACATGTTTTTCTATTTTCACAAAATATTTTTTTATTAGTCACTTTTCTTCAATTTTATTACATATACTTTTTATGAAAAGAAGTTTGTTTTTCTACAATTCAGCATTTATTGCTACATTATTATTTCTCACAGTCTTGTAGCATACCTGCTTCCGTAATCTCACACAGTGAGGAAAGTGCTCATCCGCGACTGAGCCAATTTTCGTAGGTGTGAAGAGTGTCAATGATGCTGCTGTTCGTGGAATTTAACGTTTATTTCCGAGAATCTTTGGCAATATGCATGAGAATGCTGCACGTTGCAGTAATAGTTTGCTGGTCGTACATTCCTCCAGTTTGTGCGATGGCGTCTATTGCGTCTAGTCTGGCAGCTAAGGTACGGTCCTAGAAAACAATGGATGAAGCTTCTACTACTGACGGGAAAGTTGTATAGTGCAGCGTGCAACAACTTGTGCTCTCTGAATGGTTTTTAAAACGTTTGTACTATTTTTAAAATTTGTTTAGTATTTTTTTATAAATACAATTTCGTATTATATAAATGTGTTTTATAATTAAAGTATTTTAATATTAACATTACATATCTAATATATCCGATTTTACATATTTATTACACATTCTTTCTATCTTCTTTACATATTTTGACTTTTCATACTACATATTTTTCCGGTCTTACGTACCTTTACGTTTCTAATGACTGACTGAGACATTTATCTTTATTATTATTATTATTATTATTATTATTATTATTATTATTATTATTATTATTATTATTATTATTGTTATTATTATTATTATTATTATCATTGTTATTATTATTATTATTATTAATAGTCATAATTATTATCGTCATGGCCCTTATACAGTGAAGTGATGGGAAGTGTAGTGTAGTGTAGTGTAGTGGGGGAAGGGAGTGTAGGGTAGTGAAGGGGAGTGCAGTGCAGTGTAGTGTAGTGTTGTGTAGTGTAGGAAAGTGTTATGTAAACTAGAAGTGAATTTAGAGTTAGCTAGAAATAAATTGAAACTATTATATCGACCCCCTAATTCTAATAGTAAACCCAATTGTAATTGTTTAAAATGTTTAGTAATTCTAACTTTAATTGTTATCATGTTTGCCACCGAGCATTAGCTCAAAGCGAACTTTAATAAATCTATCTATCTAATGCAAAATGCGTACGTCGGCAGAAAGAAAGTTTAGATTTATCCCTTACTTACCTGCGAGCTCGAATCAACTCGGATGCAGCTGAATCGAAAAACGAAATCGAAGAACGACGCGAAACGAAGGCATTCCGTGCAATACTTTGAACGCGCGAGGCTGAACTTCGTCTTCAATTTCGTAACAGTGGTCTTTTAATTTCGTGGAGATGTGTAAAGTTTGTTTCAGCGAAGACAAGTTTAAAAATCATCCTAGAACCAATATTGTGCACATAAAACACATAAACACGCAACACATAAAAAAGTGAGGATAACAATGCGAAGAACATTTGTTAGAGTGTGAAGAATTTGTAAAGATGTTCGATTTACTCGAGACATAAAGATTTCTTTTCGAGTTATTTTAGAAATAATTGCGCAATATAAGCTTCATCGATAAACCCCCCGTGAGGTTCTTCATTACATTCAGAAATTGGTTAAAGTAGGGTACACGGTACCCCCTCAGAGAAGCGTCGCGGCGGGGTGGTAATGTGCAGGGTCAAACGACTTCTGTAAGTTGTGCCGTGTACTAGGTTTCAGCCCAGAATTTTGCTTTTCTTTCTGTGCGTTTTTTCTGTTTGGTGACAAAGTATTGGGGAATAAAACGCGGTGAATATTTTGCGTGTTTAGAAATGCACTTTGCGATCCGATTCGATCTCGCGCACGGAATTATGACTTTGCTACGCGTGTCCAAATTGAGACTCGGTCCTTCTGCTCTCGCGTTAACATAAGACAGCCTTGAGTCCATCCAACGCATAATAGCCAACACGTTTTATGCGAATATTCACCTTAAAAATCATTTGGCGTGTATATGTTCTTTATGTTCTTCCCACATACTTGCATAAATCCCCTCAATATCCGTTGTTCATTTGTTTTCCATTCTGCGCGGGTGAACGAATCGAATCAAAAACTGTATTTCAGCCTTATGCGTCAGGCAACAGATTCGTGATTGTTTAATGTTAATTGTGGAGGCCGAAATTGCTGTAATGATTGTTAAATGTTACCTGAGAATTGTCTGGTCACCAAATCGGACACGCGTAGCCATGCGTCATCTGCGCCACCAGATGTTATACATTATAACCTTTGCAAAGTAGGAACTCTAACACTACGCCATTTTTTTCGTGGGGTTGGCGTTGTCGTTCTCCATGTTTTCGCGGTGATTGACAATTCTTTCACGCGAGGCAAAATAAGGGATCAGAGTCAAAAGATTTTGTACCCACTTTTTATAATTACAATTTTTTTATTAATTTAATTCAGGAAGTTACTCAAATATTTGTAAATGAAAATGGCACTGATTGTGAAGTTCTCAGGTTCATGTATGTAAGATAAGTTGAGAAATTTTCGTGAAGAAAATGTAACCGATGAAGGGCAGTTTTATCACCTATTTGAAACCCCAGGATGCGAGAGATTTTTTGTTACTGACAAGTGAATAAAGAGAATAAATATGATAAAAATAAAAAGTACATAGTCACGCGTTATTTTCTGATTTTATTATATCCAGCAATAGCAAATGCATGAAGCAGTCAGTTGGTATTATTTTAATTATTACAGCCATTTGGTTCAATTACACGAAATATATCAACATTCTTAAATCTTTCAAATCTCGAAGAACACACAGTGCATTATTTTCGTTGATCGTCGACATCATTGCTTGCTGATTCTGAAGCGGACCTACTGACTTTCAAAAATTATGGCGGCTGAAAGTCTTACATTGACAATTCATCCGAAAATACAAAGAAAGTCGCCTTAAGAATTTTGAGTAAATATTTAATCCTCGAACTTCTGAGAGGGATAAAATTCAAATATTTTCTAAGTCAATGATCTTCTTCCCCGTACGTCACATACAGTTTTTACTGTTTTTTTATTGTTACTAAATAAATATAATCTAAATAAATCTAAAGTTACTTCAATCAACATCTGGCGTTAGCAACAAACAATGTAAAAATGTTCAAGTTAATGTATTAATGAATGTTCGTAGTTCTATTTAAATTTTTTCCATAAAACACTGAAAAAAGTTAAGAGTTAATAATTGTAATTGTGTTTGCTGTTATATTTGAAAATTCTGTTGATGTTCACTTACTGGGTTTGTTGGATCTCATTTTTGCTCGTCCGTTACAACCTCACGAATTGTAAAAGTGAAGTGTATTGATTTAGCGAGCACAACAGAACTAACATTCTGAGAGTGAGTGAGGTTTGGTCTCGACATGTACTAGCGAACCGACCAATCAACTTCTGAGATCGCGCATGAGAAGCTCGCTCAGAGGAGACAACGCATTCATTGCCAGTTCGTTCTTGGCCGACGTCGTGTTATGTCTCGTTCTTATTCGTGCCCCTAATCCCAAATACTAGTGTGGTTTGTACGCACATGCAACGAATATCAGTGAACTGAATTGCATATTTATAACTTCAAACTAGTGCGACACTGCGACACTTCGCTACGCGTGTCCGACGATACACCTACGCTCCAAACTTCAGCATATGCGATTAACGTAAAACATTCTAGAGTCTATCCAACGCATAATTTCCTAAGCATTTCTAATGTAACAGAGTCAGTGGCCTTCGGGATTTACTTAACACGGCAAGTACCTATATCTAAATTTTATTTAGGAACTGTACTGTAAACATTGAATTCTACGGCTGAAATGTAGTATACGGCACAACCTAGGGAAGTCATTTAAGCCGGCACTTCGCGCCGTTCCGGCGTTAACTAGGCAGTTAGAATTCTGAGGGCTTTCTTGAAAAGTGATGTCTTATAAAAGTGAATTGGTAATTATGCGTTGGATAGATTCGAGGATATTTATAGTGAACGGGAGGGCCGAAGGCCCGAATCTCGCCGTGACTTGGATCCGGGCGAGCGAAACGAGAAAACTTGCCTTTGAAAGCAAATTGGCGTTACTGTGCGGCGGGGACAAAGCATACGAAGGGCGAATCATGAAAATCGCCTATCCGTAAGTTTCATTCATTTCAATTAGAGCACGTACAGTAATTAGGGCTTAAGCCCAGCCGCTACGTTTCTCTAAGGGTGTACCGTGTACTAAATTTTAACCAATTCCACAATCCTGCTTAAGCAATAGTGCAGTGTTTTACAAGAAGAAGAAACGGTATTCTTCCATCTTTGATGATTTCGAAAACACAAAAAATCGCCAACACCGCTTCCTCGTTCTCTGAACCTGTTAGTAACGCTCCACATTGTGGACATTGAGCACTATTAGGCACAACGATAAGGTCATTACTTTCGGACATTTTGTGGTTGCCCACAATATTTACTAAGCTCACTCAATCCATTGTCATTGAAGACAGTGTTGTACTGCATCTCAATCGCCGTACGGGTGGCTAAACGACTTGTGAAAACTCATAATTGTTAGATTGACTACAGATTTCATCAAATTATTGCTTCCATCAAATTGAATCAAATGAAGGCCCGGCGTCGTTTGCCGAATTACATTACTATGCTCCGTGAAGCCGCGAAACTCGAGAGAGCGGATTCCTGTATGACAGACCGGGAACCGCGGATTCTATGCATAGGATTTTATTTATTGGCGCATAAAGATAAATATTTTTTCATAAACTATTACACAAAAAATATTGGTGGATATTTTTTTTCTTTTCTAAACTTTAAACATTCCCTAATTGAAAGTATTATTTTTTCAGACCTTCAGAAATCGATGTGGTAAACCTCACAACATGGAAAGATAATTTAGTGACATGGACAGAAGTCATTGAGAAAGGTCGTCGACATTTATATGCAAATCCTCTTTCTGGCGCAATATGGTATCCAGATGGAAGTATAAAAAGCTCTTGGCTAGTGCATACACTCTGTGTGATTTTTTTCCATTTCTTGCCTGCTTACTTGATAGATCTTCTATTATTGGTGTGTGGACACAAGCCCTTGTAAGTACATCATTTATATTTTAATTTTTTTTAATGCAGAAAATACTTTTAATAATGAAAAACTTATTAAATAAAATCTGAAAACAATTCTATAATTATTTATAGTCAAAATAGAAATTGGTATGGTTTATATTTCACTTGTAAATTATTTAAGTAATTATATAACATTATTCATATCTTTTTATGATCATTGTTAGTTATATTTCAAAATTATGGGTAATAATATAGATCTATTTTATGAAGTAGTAAGGAAATGAATTTCTTGAAAGTTTATATAATCTTACTGTTCATTCTTCCTGTTTCAGTATGGTGCGAGTCCAGAAACGCATTCAGGGGGGTCTGGAAGCTTTACAATATTATACTCTGAAAGAATGGCATTTTCCCAACACTCGAATGCATGAATTACATAAACAGATACCACCAAATGAACAAGACATATTTTATTGGGGAGTAGAACTTGTGGATTTAGATAAATACACATTGGACACAGTGTTAGGAACAAGACACTATTATCTCAAAGACAAGCCAGAGACACTACCAAAAGCAAGGAGGCATCTTCGAATGTGAGTAACTTACCTATATTTATGTTGCTGGAGTGACTTTTGTCTCCCAATATTAGAATAGTTATGATAGAAAAATCACAATAGAAAGAAAAGTAAAATGAAGTTGCAAAAGAATCCGTATAATTTAGTGCAATTCTAATTTAATGATCTCCAATTAATTAAATCTTATAATTATCTGGAGCAACTTTTCTCTTTTGCTTTCAAAGCCCACACAAAAAGTCAAATTTATTCAAAAACAAGCCATTACTTGACATGAAGCTAGACCTCATTTTAGATTTCACTTTTTTTTCCAGAGATTTTTAACTTTTTCTTTTGTGCCATACTCAGGCTTCAGTCTATTACAAAACACTACCAATTTTCTTAATAAATTATTTAAAAAATCTAATTATTTATATTACTCATAGTTACATGAAAAGGCCCAATTGCAATTAATCGGGATAGTTATGGATGTACTTCATCTGTTGGTCTATATGAAATTCTGTCAGTGTAGAGCAGTTGTCCTTTTAGAGTATATTGCATCAAATCATTTTTGTAACGACACATTTTACACTTTTTTGTTTACATATTAGTTCAATCCTGACACAGTTCAATAATTATCATTTTTAATGAAAAGTCTTTCCATCATTCAATCAAAACTGAAATAATTCTTAAGTTTACTTTGAAAAATGAATTTGTTTACAAAAATAATACCATATTTGTTTGAATTTGATGTTGATATTAATAACAGCAGCTTAAAATGTCTTGAAATGCAACCAGATTCATAAGTCATTTACTTCACTCTTAAGCCACTGTCAGAAAATCTGGGTCCTACTACAAAGAAGACAGTAAATGGGCCCTACATGTATTATTTGTATCAGAATATGACCTAATTCAGTGTTCCATGAGTGACTTAATTTTTAAAATATTAATATGCAAAATTCAAAAATATAAGGAATGATAAAAATTAAATAAAGATCAAAGAATAATAAAAATTTAGTTACGGTTGAACTTCAATGGCACCCTTAGGCTCCACTGGCCTCTTGAGATTCTTAGACCCCGGAGTATTGTACCGACTGCATCCCCTCTCCTCGGGCCTGCTCCACTGTATATGAATGCATATCAGCATGATGAAACCTAGAAGCCCTATCAATATTCTATATGGCTACTTCTTATTTGAAATATATATTAACATTTAACTGTTTCTCGTTTTTTAGCTTATTATAAATTCACAAACAAAGCCACTTTTCATTGTAATTCAATTTTGTGTATGTAATTGCTTCTGCTTCATTCCAATGAGCGTAAAACCACTCAACTTCAAACAATTCTAAAATAGTTGATATTACTGATGTTACATGATATAACATTAAGTCTTTCAGTATTTTGTGATAAGATGCAAGAAATAAGCAGAAAAATTAATTAAAAATATATTCTACATTCTACTTTTTTCAGGTTATATGTATTGGATCGATTTGTGGCACTCTTGTTTTATGGATGTCTCCTCTGGTTTATATGGACATGGTCCCAGCCTGTACTTTCTGGATTGGAGACGATGATGGGTGCTGCAGTAATGCGAGTTGCTCCTTCTCTGTATGTGTCAGCAGAAGATGACTCTGCTTTCCAAACAGACACATGAAGAAATTACTTAAAAATATTTGTGTACTAGAGCAGTTGGTGCCTTACCACGATATTTTATTATTAATATAGTGTTGATCTGGTCAAACACACAAATAACACGAGACACTTTTACTGCTCTGGTGGAAACATGCATTTCTACCAAAGTCACCATATTCAATTTTATACTGTTTCTATTTGAGGCTAATTTTAGTCTGTGATGTATATAAGTGTGGTATATTGTGTGATGCAGTAGATTTTCTCTTCATAATTGGAAGAGAAACTTGCACTACCTGACAATACATTGTATTCATTTTTTTTCATGTTTTAATGATACATTATTGTAGTTAATGTACTAATGAATTATGAAAGTGTTTTCTAACATTTTAATTCTATAATTATTCAGAGAATTTTGAATAGAAATTTTGAATTTTTAGTCATTTTATGTACTAGAAATGTATTCCAAATTTAATTATTGAATTTCATTATTGACTCCTCTGTAATTTGATTGACTTGTTGCTAGTATAAGTATAACATAGTAAGCAAAAGACAAATATATTTCATAATGTAGTAATTAGATTAAATATTGACTGCCATAATGCAATGAACTAATGTATCTATAACACTCCAATACATGAGGAATATACTGAATGATCTCAAAGAAACAAACCATACTATTCAGTATTTTTTTAAATCTACAAAAAATTAATCTGTAAAATAGGAGATATTCAGTTTCCTCAAAGAACGTATGGTAGAAGAGGGTAAAATCAACCAGGGTAGAGTCGTTTACTTACCATTTTCATAGAATTTTACATTTTATTACTGTTACTGTTGACAACTTCAGTCTGTTGGCATAGAGCCCCTGAAAATGGCACCCTGAAAATAATGCATTAATATGTAGGGTTGCTAATGTACCAAATTTGTCATTAATAATGTTCACTAATTTTTTTTTTCCCTTCATTAAATAGTGGACGATTTCTTATTCAAATGCTATATAATGAATCAATTATACCCGCTATTTAAAAACAAGAATATGTAATTCATTTATAAGGATAACCTTTGCCAGTCTGTCTTCTAAAATCACTACAGTAAAAAAATAATTAAATGTTTTTATTACACTCTGTGACAAACTGTACATTCATTATGAATGAATGTTTGTATTTAGACTGCAAAAATTTTGCATGGGAATGCTTAATGTGCGAGGTGTATCTTGCATATGTTATAAGAGGCAATGAAAATGTGAAGTTTACCTTGCTAAAAATGATACTTCTAAAAGTTTTAATAAATTTTTTAAAGAATTTTCATGTGTGTATTATAACTTTAATTTCTGAAATACAGTTTCTAAGAAGAGATGTGCCATGCCCAGTTTTATGACAGTGGTCTGAAACCATCTTTTTCTTTTTTGTATTATCAAGGAATATTGTACAAAAGTATTTTGTAATTACTAGAAACTAATTAAACCTTGAAACTTTCAATATTTTGATACAGTTAACTTCAAACACAGAACTGAAGGAAAGTACCTGATACTTATTTATGCAGAGAATCAAATCTGGGGCAATGATGTAGTGTCTGGGGTAGTGAAATATTAATTTGAATTGAGATTTTTTTTCTAACAAGACTTTGTGCAAAATACCATCTTATAAATGCTGGTTTTTGTTTACATTGTTCTTTTTTTGGATACTAAATATGTGAGAACTTTCAAATTTAATTTTCTTTCTTTCTTATTTATTTGTTTTGGAGATGAGAACGCATATTTGTAAAATACATTTTCATAGTGCGTCTATATTGGAGCTTAACTGGCAAGAATGTAGAGAATAGGAAAGTTCAGTGAACTTCATGTTACAAATTTGAAATGTGAGCATTTTCTTCAGGTTTTCTTTGATTGTAGGTGTTTTTTTTTTAATTTGTTGTCTTGAAATCACTTTACTAGTGATGCAAGGTGGAACCAGAAACTTCTTCTAACTATTAAATTTATAATTTCATTCTCTTGGTAGTATTTTTATTTATTTTTTAGAAAATTATGTCATATGTAAATAAAAAAGTTTAATGGAAAACAGGGCACCTAAATGTAGTTGCCTCATCTTCTTCTTATTTGAGACTACACATGTTTGTGAAATTGATTCAAATGATATTAAATAATGCATTTATTTGAAACTAACAAAATTCACTTACATGGTAAGTTATAATTTTCCAAAAAAAATTGAATGTTTGTCTAGGCAAGTTTCTAATTTGTTCTTTCAAGTTTTTTTTCAGTTATTTATGCTTTATGATGTATTACATGTAAAAAGATCCATATTTGATTCACTTCATAATTATTTAATTTCACATTCTTCGATAATTATGAGTAAATTTTTAGTTAATAGTAGCCTACAAAAAAGAACAATTTACAGGTGCTCCTCTTTACAATGGGCTACATCATGCATACATACGTATTTTCTCAAATTAGTTTCTCATTATTGGTAATGGTTAAATAATATTGTAAAATTACACTTTCTCTCTATCCTTCTGAACTCAAACAATATTACTCAAATTAACATTAAAATTACTTTCAGTCTAAATTGAAAAAGTATATAAAATGAATAATTATTTAATGACAGAAGTAACATAGATTGCACTCTTTGAAATGACGATTAGAATTTACGGCACCCAGGCCCTTGCCAAGCTGGCCGTGTCACGGCAGGATCATTGTGTCAAAAAACATTCAGCAAATCGCAGCGAGAGAATCGTGGGGAGGTATACTGGGGTTTTTATTTCTTGGCGGTTGAAGGCCTATATTCACCATGGAATATCTCACGGCATTTCGCGTCTTTCTCGCTCGTGCCGCTAGATATCACATGATCGCGACCGTATCATGCCGTGTTGATCATGCGACATAGCCTGTGCTGCCTCGACTGATACCGCCCCTGCTCGCTATATCCAGTCGTGTTCACTACGATCACCGTTGATATAGTGCTGAAAGTTACACACCAATTCAGAAATATTGCGGAAACACATTTAAAAACGCTTATGCAACTTCAAACTCCACTTAACTGCACAATCTAACAATTAGCACAAAAGATGCGCAGAGACTTCCGAAGTTTCCGTGGCACCGCTCAAACCATTAGCAGTACAGTTAATTCTATTCCAATCTTTGGAAATGCATTGCATATTGCAGATGGCATTTTACCGCCAGAATTATTAACTTACGTCTCCGCCGGGTTGTGCTTGATGTGAACATTTAAACAAAATCATTAATATTTATATAGCGTAAACAAACATGTAAATTACAAGTGCAGTCATCGGCGATTTCCGGTTTTCAAGCAACACTGTATATGCTGAGGAAGATTGAAAAGTTGATCGGGAAAAGAGACACGATTTACATTACATATCACGATTTAGAAATAATATATGATGATTAAAAAATAGCTCTATCGCACAAGGAAAACATGCAAGAGAAACCGTACGCCCAGCGGGATAAAAAATATTTTTGATCCTTTGGTGTGAAGTTATATTGTGTTACCTCAAGTATTCCATTATTTTCATAATTTTAAATTACATCCTAACATATTCCCTCTTGAGAATACCAGCTTTACTTTCTAAATGCAAACAATACTTACTTCTAATGCATGGTTTTGTTTGCTATGAAGTAAAACCGATCAAGTTTTTCTATAAACACGCACCTGAAAGTCACTTTAATCAAGTGTTAATGACTGAATGATAGAGATCTTGATTTTTTGTTTGCACATCTCTAGGAATAATCAAGATAATTTAGCATTAGAGCATTGAGGGATATAGAAGTATTGCAGAAAAATTAAGTCAATACAATTTTCAACATCATTAAAAGTACGAATAGTTATTAACTGTTCTCACCGTAGTCTCTCTGATCACTTGTTTCAAAGAATATAGGAGTCCAACAACGTGAAACTTGGCATAAAATACTTTCTCAGATATCTGCAACAATATCTGATGAATATACACGATGCTGATACATGATATCTGAAGTAAATAAATGTGTCCACTCTTTAAGTTTATTTAAAATCCGCGCTCGGTGGTCGACGCGCATGGTCAACACGGCAATTTAAGGTACTTCTGTGTTCGAGAAAGTTTTGAAATTCGCCACCAGATAGGGTGTACGACGATCTAGCGTTGATGATAAAACCTGTGCATGCATTCGCATTCAAAAAGTTATGAAACGATTAAAGGAAATTCGCACTTTAGAAGTCCCTTGTACTGAAAATATTTATTTTTTCTGCAAATATGCCTATGTCTGTTGGTGAACAACACTGTACATACGATACAAACCACATTCTGTGTAGAAAATTGTTTGCCAAAGTTGTTAAAATCGAGATATGAGCTTGAACTGTGAAATTGAAATGCTCTCTTTTATTCTGAGGATTAGGTTGCATGCTTATAATGCATTATAAATAAATATTAAAAACTGTACAATTTATTAATTTCCTTGTGGGAACAGAACATGGTAGACTTTGTAATCTAAGTGCCTTTAATTATTAAAACTGGAATTTTTGTAGTTTTGTTATATTTCTTTTGCGACCTTATTTACAATAATAATGTATTTCATGTTTTCATGAATTCTTGGACACACAAAAGCGTTTAATATTCTCTCATGTGTCCCAAGTTTATCAAATTCACAAAGAACACTTTAAAACTATTGTTGCTTCAAAAGCACATACTTTTTCACGTGATTTTGAAATGCTCGTATATCATACAGCACATCATATAGGCAAGCAAGGATAATTTCACTTATAAATTGAACATCTTAACTAAAGGACATCACATATGTTGCGTATGAATTCGAAACGACGATATCATTACCTTTAAGTTAATTTTATTGAACGTAGAGAACATGGTATCACTAACGTTTAGTAAATAAAACTGCCTTATTTTATCTTTCCCATCATATCGCCGTTTAACAATGAAATTTTCAAATATCCATCGCTGCATTGTTGCCCAATGTAGCATATGGAGGTAACACAAAATTAACGTAATAAAACTTCCCGATAAAGTTACGAAAATTGAACATGACTTTATTTCATCACCTGTCTTTAAGGAACAGATTTCATTCATCAAGAAAGAAATCTCTATCTTTAGTATTGTAAGAAGACGATTTTTTTTGGAATTTTTGCAATTTTCATGAAATCAGGAATTTCAACGAAAATGACACGTGCACCGTTCTCTTAAGCGACTATTACGCTATCTGACACAATTTAATAAAAAAAATTTGGAGCCATTTTTTTAAAAAAAAGTTTGAAAATGTCCAAGGGGCTTCATGTAATCCACCCTCCAGGGCACTCTCCTGATTAAATCGATCGAATGAGGAATATCAATTTTGTAGAAAATCGGCTGAACTGCTTAGACGCGAGCGTTGACCGCAGACGAACAGATGGACAGAAGATGGACGAACAGACAGCCAGACAGATAGATGTTCTATCGTCAAGCTATTTTTCGGTATCAAGGACCCCAACCGTTCAAAGGATTCCCAACCTTTTTTATTTCATGAACCCCTCTTAAAATAATTGTTTGCTTCATCTACCACCATATTTGCTCTACAACATACAGCTACATAATCATTAGAAAAAGAATTGCACAACATGCCATAAAGATGACAATTTCGGATCCCAATATTCTCAATACACTTCGTTTTCCTAGTTATCAAAGACGTCTTCACTTTTGAATAGCAAAGTTTCTAATCTTCATTGAAATGCAATGGTTACAAAATGTTCATTGTTTTTTAAGAAGGCCATAGCGTTTTTCCAGTGCAATTTGCGGAGAGTACTTTCTTGCAGATAGACTATCGTTGTCAAGACATAGTTATAATTTAATGAATTTTTCCAACATTCTAATTCCTTAATTCCTGGGATGAAAGACGGATACTAAAGAAGAGGAGCGAATTTGTAATTTGTTATATGTTTTGTTGCTTTTATATCAGTAAACAGTTAATTATTTTTTGGTAATCAATGAGATCTTGATAATACCGATAAGGTGCCGGTTCACATTCGACCATTGACCCTCAATCAACCCTTAAATTATCATTGATCCCTTTCAAAATTTCATATACCTTCAGGGGGCGTATACCGACCCTGTTGGGAAACCCTGTGTTAGAGGAAGTAATTTACTAAATAAAGGAACAAGATTTATCCAATTTTTCGTTATTGTGGCACGTCAATAAGTTTTTCTGTCAAAAATTCGCTGTTTTCCCGCAAAATTAGAATATTTTCTCTATATATTGCGTAAGCAGTAGCGAGAAGCTAAAATATCACTTAATTGTAAATCGTTTTAAATTAACTTTCTGAAAAAATTCTCAACATTTCATCTTTATTTTTTCCTGACCGAAGTCGTTAAGTTTGTATACTATTTTCATAGATCAAACTGAAACTTTTAAAATCTTATGAGTCAGTATGTTCATAGAAAGTTTTCTACAAACCTAATCGAAAACTGTTACAATACGTTGTATAGCTGACAACAGAGAGTTCGAACATGCCAAAACGTCACTTTTGACTAAAATGTCAGATAGGACCTAAGTATTATATTGGCCGCAAATCGCATATGTAGTAAGAGAATGGTACTTAATGCCATTATTGGTAGAATCATTTTTGTTGAATCGATAAACAGTTTCACTATTTCTAAAATTAATTCAATCCTTGTCGTTTTGCACGAAGAGTTTTCACACGTTCGTGAAATAATTGTTACTTCTAAAATTATTCCAGAAATTTAAAAAAAGATCCCTCCTGAAAATGATCATTAACTTTAAATTGGTCTTGCGTGCACGTTTGTACTACCTGAAAATATTTCACCAGTGTCACGCATGGTTCCTGGCCTTTTCTTAATGATGATACTCATAAAAATGGATGACAAACAACAAAGAATACCCTCGGATAAGATGGTAAAATGTTCCTATAAACTAAATGACATATGAGTAGTTCCGTTTTAACGGTTTCATCTATAAACGGATACACGCAAAAAATACCGTCTTTCCTTAGTGTATGATACACTTACACAAATGATTATAAAGCGTTAAAAACCAATTTTTATCTACATTCCAAAGTAAAAAAAATATTACTGGGTGGTAGAACAATGTATACAAATGTATAATGAACATTAAAATAATGGTCAGATCTATTGCAGAAATGTTTAAAGTATATATAAA